AGATTAGTGCAGTGTATTTAGCGCAGTGTAGTGTAGTGTAGTCGTAGCTGTATCGTAGTGTAGTTGTAGTTGTAGTGTAATGTAATTAGTGTAGTGTGGTGTGGTGTACAGTAGTGGTAGTTGTAGTTGTAGTTGTGGTGTAACTAGTGCAGTGTAGCGTACTGTAGCGTACTGTAGCGTAGTGCGTGTAGCATAGTGTATATTTTTAGTGTAAATAGTAATTATATTGTACAGTGTGGCGTTCTGTGTAATTGTAGTGTAGCGTACTGTCGTGTAGCGTAGTTGCAGTTGCAGTTGCAGTTGTAGGTCGTAGTGTGGTAGTGGTAGTGGTAGTGGTAGTGGTAGTGGTAGTGGTAGTGGTAGTGGTAGTAGTAGTAGTAGTAGGAGTAGGAGTAGTAGTAGTAGTAGCAGTAGCAGTAGCAGTAGCAGTAGCAGTAGCAGTAGTAGTAGTAGTAGTAGACGACTTCGAAATCTGCTTCGCCTTCGCGCCACAAAGGCTTGCAATTTTTCATCTCACATCTCCAGATGGCTCCGCACCCGCTGCCTTGGCGAGCCTAATTTTCGACCCTCCGGACCCGGAGCCACAAAACATTGGAAGAACACAATGTTTCGCAACTTTTCTACCTTTTCGCACACCTAAATCCTCTTTCTTCTGCCTTTCTCTTCTCTGACTCTTCCCACCTCTGCTTTTCCATCTGTCTATATTGTCGGAAGTTTGACTTCTAAACTTCCTTCGGTTATACATATACACACACATAATCATATATATATATCTATCTGTATCTGCCTATATCTATCTATATCTATATCTGCCTATATCTATATCTGCCTACATCTATATCTACACCTATCTATATCTATATCTATCTCTATATCTATCTATCTATCTATCTATCTATCTATCCATCCATCCATCTATCTATCTATCTATCTCTAACTATCTGTGTGTGTAACTGTGTCTATGTGTAACTGCAATTTCTTTCGTACATTTGAGGTTTGGTCAAGTCTTCAAGTGCCAACACCTCTGAACACCTCACCTGCTTCTGCGCTTCAATCCACTTCTTTCGTTGTTCTGCTAGCACCACCGTGGTCTTCGTTTCCATGGGCACTCTGATGTGTGAGACGCCCAACTGCTGGGATCAACCAATATGGTTCTGCGAGCCAAAACTGCAGAGCAGACAAGATCTGCAAATATGCAGACATTCTCCGATGCCAGGCCTTGATTCCTCAACGGCCCAGCTTCGGTCAGAACAGCAGTGGATCTCGGCCCTCCCCGCTCCAACGATCCCCCTGAATTACACCTGGGCGCAGCATCCATGGCTGAAGTCCAATGCGGGGAATACCTGCAATTCGGCATTGGAGACACGAAATCGTTAGCTACACAATGCTCGATGCTCCCCAAGCTTCTGCACCCACTGCTTCAAACATATACATGTGATACACGTGATGACCCCATGGAAAGCCATTATGCCTATGTGTGCATGTATTAAATATATATATATATATGTGTGTGTGTATAGGCATATACGGCCAATGACAAAGAGAGCGAAGAAAAAAAAACAACTATTTCAGTACGATTGTACTTTATCTCCTTTTGGGGTTTCTATGTGAAAACGTATATATATATATATACATGGATATGTATGATCATACATACATATACGACCATATACGTACACACACATATGTATGTATGTATGTATGTATGTATGTATGTATGTCTGTCTGTCTGTCTGTCTGTATGTATGTATGTATGTATGTATGTTTGTATGTATGTATGCATGCATGCATGTATGTATGTATGTATGTTTTTATTTATTCATTGAATTATTTATTTATCTATTCATTTATTTATCTATTTATCCAAATAACGTGAAATGCAATCGCAAGCTGCCAGAGCCTCCATTTATACGGATCTAGGGTCGCCAAACAGCGCGGTTCACCAAATCTTTGGTGAGACTTTGCCAACCATCATTTTCATTGTCACACGGGCTCAAACCAAGCTTTAAAAAAAAAAAAAACGCAACAGAATTTGGCTTCACTGATCAGCGACTCATCATTTGCAGACCTGGCTTCAACATCCCAACATCACAACTTCAGCCCGGCTTCACGTCCTTTTTTACGCACCAAGTGTCGCCCACACTTCTCCAACCACAAGGCTTCCCTTCTTGTGTCGGTGCGCAGCTCGGGTGATGGACGACAACAGCTCCAGACCTCCAGATGAACAGAAATTTCAGCGGTCAAAACCTGCAGTGTCCTTTCTTTGTTTCACGTCAACCGCAGGGAATAAACCATAGGACCACAGTTTATCAAGGGGGTACCCTCTACGATAATGTGATACATAAATGGTATCCGCCGAATTTTCAACAGCCTCGGGGGTTTAATCCAAGGTTGACATGAATGGTTAGTTGATAGGGGTTCCCAGGCCTGGGTAAATACATAATACATCATAATACCCCATACACAGGGCAAAGTAATCCCTTAAAATATCGAATAATCATCCGCGTGTTCATGTTGGCCGAGTCCCTACTGTTGTGATGACAATAGCTGTGATAAAAAATGACTACGGGTTCTGTTTATTCTGGAAAGTCCAAGGGGATTGAGAAGAGTCTATAAGCATGGATTGAGGAGTTTGACTGTGGATTCAGTTGCATCAAGAATACAGATCAATGATGGATCCACAGTTGGCCAAAAAAACATCAAACTATGGTTTGGGGTGTGTTTTTTCTGCATCATGAAATTCCAACCATCCAATGTTGCCATATGTTGCCAACCCCCTAGGCTGCCTAAGCGGGGTACCATTAAGTAGCAAATCATAACTTTTTGGTGTTGGCCCCCGGAGTTGACATTCAACAAGTCTGCAATGGACAAAATTGATACATAGATTTAAAAAAAAACATGAAATCGCATCGTTATCGAATTCATAGTGCAAGATATAGTTCTACCTCGCAATATGGAATAAACCATGAAGAATCATGGGTAAAACATCTAATTATATCCCAATAATGTTAGTAGAGCAATGCCATAAACCTTTCGTGTATTATGATGGTTAATATCACTCCTTTTTTGCCATAAACCATTCAATTATGCGGGGGCGGTGAATCCTATTGCTTCACTAACATTAGCAATTATCAACATTACGTGAACAAACAGGTCATCACATTAAACTAACATTGCGGCAAGACCCTGGGGTTTGCCCGGACTCGCAACGAGCGTCCGGGAAAACCAAGATAACGATGACGATGACGATGATGATGAGGATGACGATGACGATGACGATGACGATGATGATGATGATGATGATAATGATGATGATGATGATGAGGATGAGGATGAGGAGGAGGAGGAGGATGATGATAACGATGATGATCACGATGATGATCACGATGATGATCACGATGATGATGACTTTGATGCCTTCTTGAAACCCTTATGACTGTATGGTAAATTGTTCCATGGGGCCGGTGGGATTTTGATATCTTCTTGAAACCCTAAAAGAAACCCTAATGACTGTATGGTTAATTGTTCCATGGGGCCGGGGGATTTTGATATCTTCTTGAAACCCTATATAAAAGAAACCCTAATAACTGTATGGTTAATGCATGTTAATTCCATATATGATATGTAGAAGCGACATGTTCTGGTTACAGTATATGATATGTAGAAGCAACATGTTTTGGTTAACACCCAAGCAAAATAATTGAACATAAAAATCCTTCCCGTTGTTTGACGTCGTACAGAATTCCCTGGTATTTCCGCTATTCTGGGCTTGGGCAACCTCGGGGTCTGTGTGTGTAACATGAGCACCACCATTACTAACATTGGCATCAACATTGTTAACATTACCCTCTGGTCAATTAACATGGCAAGCCTGCCAGGGGCTGAAATTGTCAACTACATGAAAACATGATGATTCACTCTAATTATCAGTCAATTTTTGGCATCATTACTAACATTAGATCACGTTAGTGTCGCAGTATCGCCAATACTAACATTGGTATCACCATTGCTAACATTAGTATTGCAATAAGTATCCAGGGGGTGACGTATTCATATTTATTCACCATTTTCCCAATTAGCCATTCATCATCTATAAAGCATCTATCATGGTGATAATACTAATTGATTTAATTCTTCATCGGATCTAATCATCTTTTGGTGTATCATTATTCTTCATCTATCTTCATCTGACATCTATCTTCAGATTATCTTCATCTATAATTATGATGATCTAAACCCTAAGATTACTAACGATAAGCCCTCTGATACCAGATCATTAGATGAAATATATCTATATTGATATATAACTGATATCATTATATTAATTAGGGGGGTACTCCTCCAATAGTCATTTCATCTGATACTTATTTATGGTGCCCTCCCAATTAAACAGCCGGGCTAGGGGTTTAAATTCATCCAGGGTTGACATGAAAAAAATGGCCGATGACATCCAGCCTCAGATCTGCCAAGGTACCAATCTCTGAGGCCACATCCAGGCGTGCCCCATCGGCGCCCCGCTGGAGCCATTTGGCCAAAGCCGAGTCCTGCAGCCAAGCCCTGGGGATGGAGATGATGAAAATCATGCTGAGTTAACCCACAAAAATGCTGATTTCACCAGCAGACATGGTCATTTAATCAAACACAAAATGTTTTTTTTGACCATCAAACACGTGGATTTCACCAAACCAACAAAAGTGTGCACAAATATAGGGTTCGCCCAAATGTTGATTTAATCAATCCACAAAAAATTGTCTAAGTAGCTTGATGATATTTACCAACCACAATCATCGGAGAGTGAAAGGGGAGAAAAACATATTTGACGGGTAAACATGTCATTTTCACTCTCCAACATCACCAAGTTGCAATTTCACCAATATTTTTCATGGGTTTAGCTAGATATCTGGGGATATGAGGGTACAACAGGGGTGTCCAAACCATAGGATGGGGATATCATGGGACGACCGATATTTGATGCAACTGAGCCAATCTTAGTCTAGGTATACACCAACTTACCAAACCCACGGCAAAAAAACACCACCTTGAATGAGGTGGCCATGTTGTTGCTAGCTTTTGGTGAAAACCGGACCATATTTTTACTGTTTTTTGTTGATGCACTTGCGAAGCATTTTGATGTTATGGGTGGGGTGGGGTGGGGGGTGGGGGCGTATGAACCTTCATGTAGACTCTAAGCAGAAACGAATGCGTTTGTGGAAAAGATGTTAGATGTTCCGTATGGGATATGGCTGGAGGTAGGACAGATGTTACATGTTACATTAAGTTGTTTGTGTTGACCGAGTAAAGATGTTACATGCTACGTCATGGGATATGGCTGGAATTAGGACAGGGGTGCAGCAGTGGCATTGGCGGCGGGTCCAGAAGAAACACTCATGTCAGGCTACTGGCCGACAGTTGCACAAAGAAGCCTTTGGATGAAAACGCCCCGAGAAAAAAAAACACGTTGATAAGCAAAGCATGCATATATGAAAACAAAATGGCCCAAAACCCAGGTTTTAGACACCTGGGGAAAAGGAATTTGATCAAATTCCTTGTAGATAGGAAGTTGCAATTCGCATGGCCCTGCCAATACAAAATACACATTCGATTGTAAATTAAGGTCCGAATAACCCCCCGGACGGATGTTTTTGGATGTTTTTTGTGCCTATTTGATAGTTGATTGTGTTCTCCATGGTTTGCCGATGTTGCTAAAGTTTTGTCAAGGCTTTGCGACTAAAACATGATACAAGCTTGCCAGGCAATGAGGGGAAAAACGCAAAGCATTGAATGAAGAAACATGACTGAAAGAACATAAAGATTAAGAGCCCATATACCCTCTTGACAATCCCACATCGTAAGATCACCATGGGTCACCAAGAAATCCAGTTGGCAAAGTCGAAGGCGCATAAGTGCAGGATTACCATGTACCAGTATAATCATAATCGTATCATATCTCTCTCTCCATCGCCATCTATATGTATATAATATTATAAATATATTTCCTTATTTATTTATTCATGTGTTTATTTATTTATGTACTATATACTTGCATATATACATACAAATATGTGTCTCTATATATATATGTGTGTGTGTGTATTTATTTATTTATTTATTTATTTATCTGTTTATGTACGTATGGGCGTGCGGCTAAAAGACACACATGCACACACACACACACCACATTTCATGCGAAAATCCGGCAGTTCGTGAGCCAGTCACCAGTCGTCCTTGCCGCTCCACAGATAGCTCTGAAGCTCCTAGGGAAGCCGAGCGAGATCCATTCTGTTGAACCAAATTATAATGCTATAATAGGGATAAAATGGGAATATAATGGGATATCATTGGAATATAATGCGAATTTAATGGGAATAGAATGGAATTTGATTCAACTATTCATGGGAAAACAATGGAACTTGACTGGACAACTGTATTCATGGGAATATAATTGGAATGTTGCCGGGAAAATAATGAGAATAGTATAATATTAATGGTGTATATATATATGTGTGATGGAATATCAATGGATATGCCCTCTGGTGACATCAAACGTGGCAATAGGAAATCCCCAAACTAGTTAAATGGATTGACCGGAACGTCCCCTCTGCGAACGCTGATCACTTTGCGAACTCAAAATTCACCATTCTTAAAAAAGGTCAAGCATCGAACTAAATGGACACCAATGGTCCATTGTCAATAACTATGTGAAATTATGTGAAATTACTGGAGGGTAAGTCAAGTTGCATTTGTATTCAATGATCTGGATATTTAACGAAGGCGATCGATGATACTGTCCACATCATTTTCGGACCAAAAAAAAATGCTGTGAAATCCACACGAATCATGTTGGGCCATACATCATAAACCTACCATGACTGGGGATGGTATGAATCCCACCCCAAAAAAAAACGGCGATGACTTGGGGATGGTGCAAATGGCAGCCAAGGTGAATCCCACACTGAAATGATAGATATACCGTATCTACCATACACCACACTTTCAAATACCGGCGATTTTACATAGCTATGGAGTAGTTTACCAAAGGGTAAATCACCCTTTGGAAAAATCCACCAGTAGTGGGTTTAGTGTTCCATTTTCCCTGGTCAATTTGCCATTAGAATACCTCCCTGTTGGTATGAGGGTAAATCAGCCATCCCAGATGGATCCTGAAAATTCTGGGTTCATGTGTAGATCGTTTATAGATCGTTTTAAACGATGGTTTGAATAAACCAATATTCATGGTTTTCTATGGTTTTTCTTTGGTGTTCTATGGTTTGTCTTACATTTTCTATGGTGTGTCTATGGTTTTTCTTAGATTTTCTAGGGTTTGTCTTACGTTTTCTAAGGTGGGGACACCACCGGAGTGCAGGAAGCCCAAGCCTTGGTCTCAAGCGCCAGCTCCACCAATGAAGGAGCACAGCCCCAGACCTCGCCGGAAAAGAACGGGCCCCAGGTTGACACAACTGACATTTATGTGTATATCTATCTATCTATCTATCTATCTAT